GGGCGGTGTGGTCTTCTATTGTGGCTGCCAGGCTGCCATGGGGCCGCTGAGTTGGAGGTGACTCCCCAGCACCTGACAACAGCATGCATATAACTGGTGTCCCTGCCAGTGCAGGCAATTGAGCTGGGGGATAGAAATCCTACTTAGAGATGTAATGCATAGGTTCCCACACTTACTTGGCCTACCGCCCCCTTTTCAGGAAAACAATTACTCAGCACCCCCACAGCAATGAAAAGCTGAAGTGTAGCTATCGGATTTGCAAGTTCCCTCCGCTCCTCTCTGCACCCACCCCCCCGCCCCTAGGATCCTTCCAGCTCTGCTTTGGGGGTAGTGTGGCATTTTCCCAACTTCGATGAAGACAGCAAACCAAGAAGCTGGCAAAGCAGTCGCTGGCATCAACTGGGCTCTTTGTCTACAGATGTCAAGTGACCATGAGGTCAGGACTGGCCATCGGGAGCTCTCAGAGCCACCTGACATCAGGCCCAGCGGTGACCCACCATGGCGTGGAACAGGCAGGTCTGGTGCTGGGGGTGGTGGTGTCAGAGATGGGTGATGCGGATCCTGTGACCCCCATTGCTGCAGCGTGGATATCTTCCTCACACACTCCGGTGGTCTCAGAACCCACTGCCATCATGGAAGGAACCCTGCAGGACAGGCAGAATGGCCCCCTGGGACTGCCGAGGCTGTCACTCTTCAGGGAAGCAGGGCAGCCTCATCTTCTCTGGAGGAGCAGGGTGCAGGTTTGAACCACTGAACTTGCAGTTAGTAGCCCAGCAATTGATGGCTCCTCTTGCAGTTAGTAGCCCAGCAATTGATGGTGGTCAAGAATTCCCTGTGACCCAGTGACCAAGCCTGAAAAAGCCTGAGGATGGGTCTGGGGGGGGCGTGGCTCATGTGTGAGTGTGACTGCCCTGCACCCCAACTCAGCGGTCACCCTGAAAACACTCTCAAAGGCATTCAGGATAAGGTAAACAAGCGGCCATCTAACAGAGAAGCATCAAAGCCCTCATGGAAGAAGCACACCAGTCTGTGTGATCACGAGGTGTCGAAGGAATCGGGTATCAGGCATCAAGGAACAAAAATCACATCATTGTGAATGAGGGGGAGTGTGAAGTGGAGACCCAAAGCCCATCTGTAGACAACTGGACATCCCCTTACCAAAGGGTCTTGGGGAGGAGACCGGTCAGGGTGCAGTGTAGCAAGGATGAAACATACAACTTTCCTCTAGTTCCTAAATGCTTCCTCCCCACCCACTATCATGATCCTAATTCTACCTTACAAATCTGGCTAGACCAGAGGATGTGCACTGGTACAGATAGGAACTAGAAACACAGGGAATCCAGGGCGGATGATCCCCTCAGGACCAGTGGTGAGAGTGGCGATACCGGGAGGGTGAAGCGAAGGTGGGGTAGAAAGGGGGAACCGATTGCAAGGATCTACATATAACCTCCTCTCTGGAGGATGGGAAACAGAAAAGTGGGTGAAGGGAGACGTCGGACAGTGTAAGACATGACAAAATAATAATAATCTTATAAATTATCGAGGGTTCATGAGGGAGGGGGGAAATGAGGTAATACCAAGGGCTCAAGTAGACAGCAAATGTTTGGAGAATGATGATGGCAACAAATGTACAAATGTGCTTGACACAACGGATGTATGTGTGGATTGTGATCAGAGTTGTACAAGCCCCCAATAAGACGATTTTTAAAAAAAAGGCCTTCAGGATAGAGGAGACCAAACTGTGACTACAGGAAGGACCCACCGGAGTCCACCAAAGACGTCAAGATGCCCGGAAGTCCCCAGTGTCCCAAACCCAACTGTGCCTGCACGGCCCCTCCCTGGAGTAGGCAGGTGATAAGGCACTGCCAAGATGTGATTTGTGGACAGCACTTCCTGGAGGCAGATGGCCACTGTCTTCTGAAGGACCTGCCACCACCTTGCTTATCCCAGTGCCCCCGGGGCCACGGCCTCCCCCATCTACTAGCCCTCATCCCCCCCCTCACCCAGGCTCCACTAGATCACTGGTCCCCCACATGGCCAGGGAGGGTCTCCCAGAGAGGCTCAGCCTCCCAGGGTCCTCGGGGTAGGCATTGCAGAGCAGGGTGCTTCTTCCCGAGGACACGGTGGAGTGAGGAGCAGGTGACCCGGCCCCAGCCAAGTGTGAACATGAGCACCCCAGGACCTCCTGCCCTTACTGAGTGAATGTGGGGATCCCTCTGGCCGTGACGCCAACTGAATCTTCAATGACAAATCTGGTCCGGATGGACATGCCCAGGAAAGTGGCAGAAAGGATGGGCAGTTAGGGTTGAGCTCGGCATCCCTGGGGAGTTTGGGCCCCTAGGGGAGCTCCATCCTCACCACCCTGGCCTAGCTGGACCCACTTCCCAGCCCAGGGTAGCCATTGCTGCTGCCAGGAAACCTTGCGGCCCCTGGCCTTGTTCCTGCCCTGGACACTACATGCCACAAAGCCTTGAGCTGGCTGTCCCCATGCTGGGCTATGAGCCCCCAGCCAGGACAAGGCACTCCTCCACCCCCAGCTCCAGGATCCCAGGAGACCCTCCCTCCCATGGAGGGGTGCCGCACACTCAGGGGTTCCAGTCTCACTGCCCAGACAGAGCCTAGCATTTCAGGAAGGGTATCTGAGCCCAGACTGGGCCTGTTCCCCGAGGCCAGTGCCCCATCAACTTGTGCACTGGGCAGGCCTCTCAGACTGCTAGGCCCTCCTTCCCAACCACATCAGCCAGGCAAGGTGCTTTCTTGGTGCTTTGTGCTTTATTGATGGCAGCGGCCCTTCTGGGCTGCCCGTTAGCATTCCTGCGGCGAGGGGGCCCGCCCGCCCGCCCGCCCAGCTCACAGATCTGAGGGTGGCACACTGGGCAGAGGTGGCTGTCTGTCCCGGAAGCCCAGGCGAGGCTCTGTCCTGAGCCTGGTCCCCGGCACGACAGGCCGGGCAGGAGAGGCCTTCAGTCCGCAGCAGCCCGAGGCCCACAGGCCTGGCGGCTTGTGAAAGGAGTCTGGGGTGGGCCCAGGTCAGAGAACGCTGGTGTCACCTGGGCCTGGTGTAGCCGTAGGGGTGACGCAGCAGCAGGCTCTGGTGGCTGGGCAGCACGTGGCTGTGGTAGTGCTCCACCAGGCTGGCCATGCTCACAAACAAGACTTCGCCCTCCAGGTAGAACTTGGAGTCCTGTGGGCATACCAGCAGATGGGCGGGCGGGCAGTCAATCAGAACAGCGGTACACTCAGGTCACTTGGCCTGAGCTGCCTCCCCATGGAGCCCCTTGCTCAGCCCCCACCCCTGCCCAGGGGACCCATGCAGAGTCTGTTAATAAACCCAAGATCTGGGGAGGATCACCCGGTCCCCCTCCAGGGTCTGCTGGGGACAAAACGGGGAGGTTGAGGAGGCCGTGAGAGTGGAGGAGGGGAGAGGAAAGTGGGGAGGCAAAGGAGGGGGAGGAAGGAAAGAGAGAGGTGGGGAGAAAGGTATGGAAGGTGGGGATGGGGAATAGAAGAAGGATGGGGGTGGGGGTGGAAGTTGGGGGAAGGGAAAGGCAGGAGAGGAGTGGGGGATGGTGGGGGAGACAGAGGTAGTGGGGAAGTGTAGAGGAAGTAGGGGAGGTGTAGGAGGTGGGGAAGGTGGGGGAAAGTAGGGGGAGGTCAGAGAAGGGCTGGGGAAGGTGGGAGTAGGAGAGGGGAGAAGAGAGGGGAGGTAGAAGACGGTGGGGAAGAGGGGGCAAAGATAAGAAGGTGGGGAAGCAGGGGGAGGAGGAGGTAGTGGAAGGGAGGAGG